TCTGCGATAGACACGAAGCAGCGCATCTGACCCCGGAAGTTGTTGTCCGTTGCCGGGAGACGAAGGGGCAAAACAGGAAAATAATCTAGTAGTGGACGGACGTTGTTCCGGGTCTTCGGTATTTGGCGGAGATTTTAGTGAAGGCGGAGAAGAGGGCGAACTAGAGGAAAAACAGGCAGATTCCTCCTCTATTTACAAACTCCTGGGGATGCAACAAGTGGGCGCGGTGCGTCGACTTCCGGATCTGACGTCGACAAATTTTTAGAATCGAGTCGTCGACTTCGTCGAGGCTTCGCTACAGCCCTATTGGATACCTTGAACCAGTAAAGACTGCGTATGCAGCGGGCATCCAGACTAAAGTAAACGAGCTGGCACAAGAGAACAAAAGTGGTACAGAGCTACAGTACCCCAACCCGAGTAAAACACAGACACGAGAGAACCAACAGAGACCAAAGTCATGGGACCCCCCAGTGGATCTCCAGCATCTGGATGAAAATCAGCGAGCGGCTGCAAGGAAAATGTTGCGAGAGGAATGTGAGGCATTTGCATATGACAGTGACGATGTTGGTCGTATACCATCCCTGAGGATGCATATAAGCCTCCATGACACAAATCCGGTGAAAAAGACATACATGTCCATCCCAAAACCCCTTCACAACGAAGTGAAAGAGTATTTGCAAGACCTGCTTAACAAAGGCTGGATCACACCATCAAGGTCCCCCTACTCATCACCTGTGGTGTGTGTCCGCAAGAAAGATGGCACCCTCCGCCTTTGTTGTGACTTTAGGGAGCTCAACCGCAAGTCAGTCCCAGACCGCCATCCAATCCCAAGGATTCAAGACATGTTGGATGCTCTGGGCGGGAGCTCCTGGTTTTCTGTGTTAGACCAGGGTAAGGCGTACCACCAGGGTTTCTTGGATGAAGAAAGCCGTCCCTTAACCGCCTTTGTCACACCCTGGGGGCTCTATCAGTGGGTGCGCATCCCCTTTGGCCTGAGCTCCGCCCCCGCTGAGTTCCAGAGGAGCATGGAGCACTGTATGGCAGGGCTCAGAGACACTATCTGTCTCCCATACCTGGATGACAACCTGGTGCACAGCAGCAGCTTTGATGAACACTTGGAACACATCCGCCTTGTCCTCCAGCGGTATAGAGAGCATGGTGTTAAGCTGACCCCAAAGAAATGTGAACTGTTCAGGCAGAATGTAAGGTTTCTGGGCAAGCTGGTAACAGGTGAAGGCTACACAATGGACCTGGCAGAGTTGGCCCCGGTGATGGCCTTAAAGGAAAAGACACCGGCAACTGTCGGAGAGGTACGTCAAATGCTTGGTTTCCTCTCTTATTACAGGCCTTTCATCCCCAATTTCTCCCGTATAGCCCATCCACTCTACAGCCTGCTCAGCCCTCCATCTTCTGAAAATCCTGCTCCAGTCTCAGCCGACAAGTCCAAAAAGGAGATGAAGAAAAGCAAAGGCCACTTACCATCACGGGCGCCCATTCAGTGGACGACCTCCCACCAAGAGACATTGAACCAGCTGGTAGATGCACTTACAAGACCCCCCATTCTGGGGTACCCCGAGTTCACAGAGCCTTTCGTGTTACATTGTGATGCATCACAGGTTGGGCTAGGTGCTGTTTTGTACCAGCGACAGCAAGGCAAGATGAGAGTCATAGCGTATGGCTCCCGCACCCTGAGTCCTGCAGAAAAAAAATACCACCTGCACTCCGGCAAATTAGAGTTTTTGGCTATGAAGTGGGCAATTTGTGACCGTTTCCGGGATTATCTGTACCATGCCCCATCGTTTGTGGTGTATACTGATAATAACCCACTAACATATGTGCTCACTACTGCAAAGCTTAATGCTACAGGTCACAGATGGGTCGCGGAGCTAGCCAGCTACAACTTCACCATCCGCTACCGCCCAGGCAAGACCAACGCAGATGCTGATGGGTTGTCGCGAATGCCATTGGACATGGACAGCTATATGAAGAGCTGTACTGCTGAAGTTGGACAGGAAGCCATAAGCGCATCAATGGAGTCGGCAACGGTGGAGGAGAGAGACCCTTGCCAAGGTGTTGGAGTTATCCAGGTTAGTGCGCTGACATTAGTCAAAGATTCTGACACTACCCAGTCTTTTACACCAGACCAGATACGCAGAGCCCAGGAAGCAGATGAAGTCCTGACAAGAGTGCTCTGGTATAAGTCGCGGGGTAGAAGACCGAATAGAACTGAGGTGAAATCAGAGCATCCTGCAGTAGCTGGACTACTCAAGCAGTGGTTCAAGCTTCACGTCGACCAGAATGGTGTCCTGCGTCGCCAAACTTCACGCCGAGAGCAGCTACTGGTCCCGAAAGCCTATCGTCCCCTGGTTTTTAAAGAACTCCATCAAGACATGGGCCACTTAGGGGTGGAAAGGACGCTCGACCTGATTCGAGACAGGTTCTACTGGCCGCAGATGGCGAAAGAGGTTGAACACTTTGTAACAGAAGAATGTGAGTGTCTTAAGAAGAAGAAACCGAGTAAGCAGACCCGTGCACCCTTGTCCCCGATCCAGTCCACCTACCCATTCCAGCTGGTGTCCATAGACTTCCTTCACCTGGAAAAGTGTAAGCAGGGCTACAAGTATATACTTGTTGTCATGGATCACTTCACGAGGTTTGCTCAGGCATATGCATCGAAGAACAAAACAGCTAAAACAGTCGCTGACAAGCTCTTCAATGACTTTGCACTCAAATTCGGCTTCCCGACCAGACTACACCACGACATGGGCAAGGAGTTTGAAAACAAACTCATGGCAAGATTGAAGGAACTCTCTGGTATCCAGGGCTCCCACACAACACCCTACCACCCACAGGGTAATGGACAGGTGGAAAGACTCAACCGCACCCTGCTGTCTATGTTGCGGACTCTGGAGGACAACGAGAAAGATGATTGGAAAGAGTCGCTCGCTAAAGTTGTCCACGCGTACAACTGTACAAAGAATGAGGCAACAGGCTACGCCCCTTATTACCTCATCTTCGGACGTTCCCCCCGCCTGCCCATCGATTTGCTCTTCGACCTGAAAAGGGATGAAGCTCATGCGGACTATGATGACTATGTTAGCTGCTGGAAAAAGAGAATGCAGGAGGCGTACACCGTGGCTTCTCAAACTGCTACCAAGGAAGCTGCTCGAGGCAAAGTGTACTACGACAAGAAAGTTAAAGGGAGAGATCTTCAGCCTGGGGATAGAGTACTCCTCCGAAATCTCACTCCTCGAGGTGGTCCCGCAAAGATCCAGTCCTTTTGGGAGAACCAAGTCTACAAAGTGAGGGACAGGAAAGCAGATGACAGTCCAGTGTATGTGATCAGCCCTGAAAATGGCCAGGGCAGAGATAAAGTGGTGCACAGGAATCTCCTACTGCCCTGTGACTTCCTGCCACTGGAGAAGCCATCAACACAGACTGGTCAGCCCCAGAAAGACTCTTCGACGGTGACAAGGAGGAAGTCCAGACCTCTGCGTAGACAGCAACAGCCAGGGAATGGCGACACATCAGATGATGACGACAGTGGCACCTTCCAGTGGCACCTCAGGCCGTTTCCAGGGAGACGACAGAGACAGACTCTGCTTAACCCTTTGGCAGAGTCCTTCCAGCCTCATCTGAGTCTCCACTGTCAAGAAGAGGATTCGCCACTACAGAGCGAAGAGGATTTGCCACCCCAAAGTGAAGAGATTGTGCCTGAGCAGATCAAGGGCTCTGACAATGACAGACTACTGCGGGGTGATAGTATGGCTGACATTCGAGCTGCAACTGGTAGTGAGACTGACTCTGTGAGGCAACGACCTCAAAGACAAAGACAGCGACCAACTGTACTGAGCTATGACACTTTAGGTCAGCCAACTTTGGTTCAGAGGACCTGTACAGTGACTACGGCTCAGGCGATTGACTGTATTGGCTTCTGGAGACCATGGGCTGTGGGAGTATGTTAAAGCTATGGTTTAATAGATGATGCAGACAGAAATGTCAGGAGACATTTAATTTTGTGGGGAAGAGTGTGGCACTATGTGAAAGACAGAGACATGAAAATAGTAGCCCCCCATTTTATTTTAGCCTCAAAGACACTTTCTTTTACTAAGGCCACTACAATGTCAGTTCTATTGTTATATACGTTCCGCCAGCAGAGGGCGCTCAGTCCTGTACACATCGGTAGCTGACGCTACACTAGAAGAAGTAGTGTCAGTGGTGGAGAGGCAGTGTACGGCCTGCGTGCTGAAAGAACTGATTAATCAGATATTTTTCTGTCTTTACAGGTAAGCTGGGGGGTTGCTAAGATAAACAGATGTTATAATAGTGACAGACAGCAGTGGCAATTAATGACGAGTGTCTTGTGTGTGGTGAATGTTAGGCTGAAGAGCTAATTTCCAAGTTGGTCCAGTTGTTAGCCTGTGCCGATTCAAGTATTAGACTGTACCGAAAACTGGCAAGTTCATGGCAGGTGTATTTTGGGTTAAAGCCACAAGAGGTATGTTTTGCACAATAAGAGAAGATGTCAATTGATGCATGCTTAGTTCCTGAAAAGTGAATGCTGTAAAAATACGCTAAGGAAAGATGTTTATCTGAAAGAAATCTAGTTTGATAAATACAGTTACGAAGACAGGTTCATAAATAGCTTAAAACAGTAGTAAAAACAACCAGATAAACCTAATGAGAGTTCACTGTGTTATTCATGGGTGTAGTAAAATGTATTTTGGTGATTTAACCAGTTATTAAAATTGGTGCATATGAATATAGAACTGTATAAGTTACTTGTATAAGGTAATGTCAGCTACACTAGAAGAAGTAGTGTCAGTGGTGGAGAGGCAGTGTACGGCCTGAGTGCTGAAAGAACTGATTAATCAGATATTTTTCTGTCTTTACAGTTTTTCTGTAAAAATAAATATGTTGCACGGGAGATGAGTTGGCCCATCATTTCAGAAGTGTAACATTAACAACCAATGAGGACTGGTGAACCAGAGCTCCCAGTGACACCAGTTGTGTCATTTTTAAAGTCATGAGTGACAGGGCTGCCTTAATACTAAGCTGTTGCTCCAGTCACCTGGTACTGCTGTAGGCGATCTGCTTCCTGACCCCCACCAACACGTCCTGCTTCTGTTCTCCATCCTCCAGACCGAGTCACGACTTGTAAATAAGATGTACAGTTCACCTGAGGACAAATGTAAATCTGTACCATATTTAAATACAATAATATTTAATAAATAATATTTAAAGACAAGTATTTATCATAATTATGGTTTTCCTATTCATTGCTGTAACACCTGTCAAACACGACCTGCAACTGGTTGCAGGTTCAAATCCCAGCTGCAGCCTGCGACCCTAGCTGTGTGGGCTTGATTTTTGATAAACGATACATGACCCGCATTGACCCCATGTCCCTCCTGAGGTGGCGTGTCTGTAGAATCCCCAACCCCGCTGTGAGGCTCCTCACTAGTCTGACGTGTTCCTCCTGGTTTAGGAAAATCCAGTTTATGGATTAGGATCCCGGATTTAGATCTGAGTTGGTCTGTAGTAGCGTCCACCCCCTGTGTGACACGGGCACTCAGTCCAGGTTCATGAGGACTGAGAGGAAACCCACAAAGATGTGACTTTCAAAATAAAATGTAAGCAATGAGGACTGAAAGGCTAACACCACCTTCATTATCACTGCTGCTGCTTGACCGCATTTTATTCTCGTGATCGTGTTGTTTGAGGGTGGCTTGATATCAACTTTGGAAAATGAAATGCAGACAAAAACAAACCAGAGCTAAAAGTGATGGCCAATGACGTCAATGATAAAGACGAATATTCCAGCAAAATTCTGCAGATTAGCTCAAAGATGGAATAAATGAAGTTGAGCTAAAATCTGATGACCGATGTGTGGAGTCAGCTGGAGGCAGGAGGGTCAAACGCTGGATGTTCTGATGTTTTCATAGTCAGCTGCACCATCGGCCCCATCATCACACACCTGAACAGCACAACACAATCACACTGATGAGTTCAATCAGACACGTCACCAACAGCTGGATCCCAGTCTGAGGACACTATAATGTTTTTTCCCATGTCTATTTTTGTATGATATAAAATCTGCCTGTTGTCTTTTCAACCACTAGATGGATTATGATGAAATTATACAAAAACATTAATTATGTTTCCAATTAAATCACCTTTGGAGTCAAAATTCAAGATGGCTGCCATGGCTGACCAACCATCAAACACAAAAAGTCTAAAACATGAAAAATTCTACAGATTTTGAGTAAAACGGATGCTGAGAGTCATTGATAATCATAGTTCAAGAGATCATAGAGGAGGAAAAAGCTCACATGCTCCAGGAGAGAATGCTATTTTCTAGATTTGACCAAAACAGGTAAACTTTATTATTTCTCAGCAGGATCTAAAGGTCTGACGGTAAAGAAAGCAGCCGAGTTTTGACTTTTATGATCATATTTTTTTTAACACTTAGATGATAAATCTAGACTCACCATGCCTGAGTCCGTCTGCATTTTCCTCCCTAAAAAACAAAAAGAATCCTTGAGTGCTGATGTAATTCCTCTCCTCTCAGCAGACGTTCATGTTTAGACGAGAACATCTCACCTTTAGCTCTGGTCCGTCTGCTGGTGACGACGACACCTGCTGTCAGCGCGGCTAAACCCACAGAACCAATCAGGAACCTGAGCCAGACTGATCAGATTTGTGATGTTAAACAGGAGAAACCGTCAGAAAACGTGTCAAATGGATCAGCGTCCTCCTGCAGCATCCTGGACCGTGTCGTAGGTTCACCTGCTGTGCAGCTGGGTCCAGGTGTTGGTGGAGATCCACCTGCAGACTCCGTCGTGTCGGTTTTCCCTCCTGATGTAACCATTGATGTTGTTGTTGGAGGAGAAAAATAAATCATAAGTTGTTTTTCATCATCAGTGAAACATTTGACTTCTAGATCTCTGAAACCAGGTTGTTGTGGTTTCTCACCTGTTGGACCAGAGCTGAAGGTAAAAAGCTGCTGTTTGTTTTCTGTCTCTACTTCACATATGAATAACTTAAACCTTGATGAGTAAACGTAGTTGGAGGTCTGAAAGGTCACAGCAGCAGAGCAGGAAGATGGAGATGATGTATTTACATCAGGATGATCTTTCTCCACATCGTTACCCTTAAACAACCACTTCACTTCATGTCTGCATTCATCGTACGGCGACACAGAGCAGGTGAACGTCACCTTGTTCTGCTCTGTTTGTTCTCTCACTGAGGACGGATGGAGAGAGAAAAGTAAACATGATTAAATTTATATTTGTGATCGTTTTGTTGTGAAACATGTGTGAACACTCACGGGTAACAACAGAGAGGTAAACAGGAGCATCACGACGTGATGTACTACCTCCTTCTATTTCATACTGTCTGCAGAAGTATAAACCAGCATCATACTGACTGCAGAAGTATGAACCAGCATCCTCAGCTGAGATGTTCCTCAGAACCAGAGAACAGTTTCCTGCTAGACTCAGTGAGTCTGATCTGCTGTATGTAACCTGGCCGAGAGTAACCAGCTCTTGTGTTGTTCTTCCTGGTTTACCGTAGCCCCAGGTGGTGGTGTCACAGTTTCTGTGATCTTTAATCACATTTTCACAAGACAAAGCGACGTCATCTCCAGCTCTGATGGTGTAGAAAAGATCTCCACTAACGACTCCTGAGAGAATCAGAGACATTTGGACCTTCCTTCAGAAAATTGATAAAAAATGTTTATTTCCTAACCCAACATCATGTTTGCTGCCAGTGAAAGAACAGCCACCATCTCCACGAACACTAATCATCTCTAACATCTGAACTCCTCACCTGGAAGCTGCAGCAGCATCGTGAGGAGCAGAAACATCTGAATCCATCCAGGTTCCTCCATGGCTCCTCTGCTCCGTCGTCTCTCTCCACTTCCTGTTTAACTCTGAAACGCGTCAAATTTCACCCAGCAGCTGAATCTACGTCCTATAACTTGTACGGTTCCTTCATCATGACTCATGCTTCTCGTCGCTGGCGTTCATGTGAAACGGAAACATTGAGGCATGATTACGATTCTATCTTTGGTTCCTTTTAAACCCAGAAGGTGTGAAATGACGACGTTAATAAAGACAATTATTTATAATTTTCTCAGAAATTCTGTCTTCCTGAGTTTGTTTTATTCAACACACCAAAAAGAAATGATTAAACATCAAAGGTAGTATAGTAGTAGTATGTAGTACAGTTGGGTACTCATGAGGTACCTACAGGTACTTAGGGAGGTTATGTAGAGCAAGCACCACCACCATAAGGAAACCATAGTTCATGCATAAACTGGTCATATTTTATGTTCCCACTTCCTGTGGGAACTTTGTGTTACATCATCTCTAATGATGATTTAACAGAAATCTGATGTAAACCTTTAATAACCACACGAACCGTTCTGAGCTGTTTTAATAGAACTTACCAGTTCTGAGCAGCTCAGCATGTGAAGTGATCCGTTTTGTCCTGAGCTAACCGATACCCTGATTTTAGAGTAGAATGAAAACCATTTTATTCTTTAGTAACTGTTAATTACATTATGTCACACATCTACAGCGTGATCGCTTCTGGTTAATAAAACTGATATTATTGAAAAGCCAGTTTCATGTTTTACTTTTATCTGTACAGGCGGGTCAGCAGTAATGCTCCCAAAAGATCTGTGAAGCAACCGCAGCTCCTCCAGAACGCTGCTGCTAGAGTCTCAGCAAGAACCCAGAGGACCGAACACATCACTCCTGTTTTTAGATCCTCACACTGGTTACCAGTAAACTACAGAATCCATTTCAAACTACTTCTCTTAGTTTATAAATCACTCAGTGGCATGGGGCCAGAATACACATCGGGTCTCCTTCAGGTATCTATGTCCAGCAGGGCTCTGAGGTCCTTATGAAGTGGTCGGCTTGTAGAACCGGTGTCGGTACAAGATCTGCTTGGGTGCAAGATCGGCTCGGGGTCCTTCGACTGCCGATGACGTCAAAGTACGGCAAACCCACTCGGCCAAAATACACTACACATCTATACTGTTGGAAAGAATTTAGCAGTTTCGTTATTAAAATAATGTTTCTTAAGACGTAAGTTTGTGTTTATAATGGTATTTGTAAAATAAAACACTATATTGTATTCATAATGTTGAACTCCTCTTTGAGCACATCCCTTGAAGAATCATAGGTATTACAACACCTGTGAAATTGTATTTGCAGGAAAGAAGTGTGTCCCGTTTATAGAAGTAGTTTGTGTTTAGAGTTTTTGACGTCTTGTCATAGTTCAGGTACGATCATAGCTGCTAGCAAAAACTCTGGAGTTAAAAGTTTTCTGGCTTTACTAAAATACCTGTCTGTATTTATTTGATTGATGGTAGTTTTACTTTCTATTTGACTCCAAATGTAATCATTTGAAACATTGCTAATTCATAATTTGTAAGAATGTAATCTGTGATATTAGCATTAGCATTCCTATAGGTTTTTCCATGTATATTAGCATTGCGCTAACCACTCGCTGCCAAATTGCAGCCTTTGCGATTAGAAAATTTCCTTTAGTCACATCGCAATTTAATTGCACAAGCAGTTTATCGTTCAGCCCTAATATACATGCAGCTCTATGCTAAAAGTGTATTTTCAAAGAGGTAATGATGGAATTCTTTGGAAAAGTTGTCCATCTTTCCAACAGAAAAATTTGCCTGGACCAACGTAACGTGATAACAACGTAACGTGATTACATAATTCCGTAAGGTTCATGTTCAGCCAATCAACTACTTAGACGTCATCGGCAGTCGACGGACCCCGAGCCGATTTTGCACCCGAGCAGATCCTGTACCGACACCGGGTCAGAAACTAACAGGGTGAAGCTGCTTTTAGCTACTATGCTGCTTACAGATGGAATCAGCTTCCTTGGGTGACGGTGGCACAGGAGTTAAGTGCTCACCCCGTAATCGGAAGGTTGCAGGTTCGAGCCCCGCTCAGTCGCTGCTGTTGTGTCCTTGGGCAAGACACTTAACCCACCTCGCCTGCTGGTGGTGGTCGGAGGGACCGGTGGCGCCAGTGCTCGGCAGCCTCGCCTCTGTCAGTGCGCCCCAGGGCAGCTGTGGCTACATCGTAGCTCATCCCCACCAGTGTGTGACTGTGTGTGTGAATGGATGAATGACTGATTGTGTTGTAAAGCGCCTTGGGGGGTTCCAGGACTCTAGAAGGCGCTGTATCAAATACAGGCCATTTCCTCATGACCTCAGATGTGCCTCTACTCTAGAAACTTTTACATCAACACTGAAAACATTCATGTATTCATCAGCCTTTGAATGGATATTTCTCATGCTGCACCTTCTGCTCTGTAACTGCTCACCCTTCAGCTTCGCCTTTTTGATTCTTAAATCTGAAACTAATGTGTTTTAATTGTGCTGTCACACTGATTTTCACGCCCGCGCTGTTGGAAAGCTCACTGAATCACCTGTGTGTGTGTGAAACGTGCTGCATGAACAGAGCTGCCGTGTAGTTAGTGGTCCTGATGTCCTGTTTGGGTCAGAAGCTTTACTTTCATTCACCGAGGAATAAACACTCAGATGTTTGTCTTTTTACTTGTGTTGGTGGAATAAACTGTTTCCCGACAACAAAGCTTTTTTTTTTTTTGTTAGAAATGTTGCCGTTTCATTTCCAGCCCAGCTGTCCATGAGCTGTGACTCAGGTGTCAGCTGCACACCTGGAACACACCTGGCAGCTCTAGAGCCACAGCACAAGAGAAAACAGGAGACTTGTGTAAAGACCAACACGTGTGAGCCTCGTGCTGGTGCACGATCCTCACAAGTTGGACCTCAGAGTAAAAAATGACACATCAGGCTTTGCAATAACGAGTTTTATTACCCAGAAGCGTGGTTACAGTACACAAATAAACACTTTCCTACAATTTGTGCTAAATTAAAACTTTTACACTCTCTTATTAAAGTTAGTTTATGAAAGTGTGCATGAACAGCCATCATGCGTGTTTTTTACAGTGCATGCATGAGCCGTGACCCTCTCTCTGGTGTCGTTGGTCACTCGATGGAGGTGTAGAGGCTGTGGGGATCAGCAGGTGCAGCTTTCAGCGTGCTGTAGGTCACGGTGGATCCATCATATTCACCTTTAACCTGCAGCAAACAGAAGATCATGCGTGACCTCCACAGAAACCGTCAGGTCATTTCTAACCAGTGGATTAGCTCACCCTGGTGGGTTTCTGGGTGTAGCTGATGGAGGCGTAGGAAAGCCCCTCCTCAGCTTCACCCTGAACACAAACAGATTCTGCAACCAGCTGGTTTTACGTCTCAGGGTGTTTCAGCTCTGACTTCCCGTTTTTCAGCTCAGGCTTCCTTCTTTAGTCTGATGCAACACCTGACTCGTCTTCTACAGAACTCTAAAGCGGGCTTCGTGTGAAGAAAGGATGTTGCATTTTTACCTTTTTTTGTCTGGTTTCTGCAGGAGGCGGAGCTGCAGGGTCAGAGGTCATGGTCTGGAGACACATTCAGTCAGATTAGGATTTATTCAGTTAAAGCAGAAGATTTTTCATAACGTGGTCAAATTGTTTTCATTTGCGATCAAGTTTGCTTCAAAAGCCAAGAAAAAATTATCTGGGCCTCATTTTTTCTCAGCTGTAGCAGCACACAATGGTCTGAAACCGAATTTAAGGGAAAATTTCCAAACTCACGTAGTTGGAATTTTGCTGCATTTGCGTCCCTAAAATGAGAAAATGAACACAAAAATACACGTTGGTGACAGAAGCTTCTGCAGAAGGAAAACACAGATTTATTATATTGTGAATTATAATTAAAGTTTAATCCATCTATCATCCATTTTCCTCCACTTATCCGGGGTTGAGTCGCAGGGGAAGCAGCCTAAGCAGAGAGGTCCAGACTTCCCTCTCCCCAGCCACTTGGACCAGCTCCTACGGGGGAATCCCAAGGCGTTCCCTGGCCAGGTGAGACACATAGTCCCTCCAGAGTGTCCTGGGTCTTCCTTTAGGTCTCCTCCTGGTTGGACGTGCCCAGAAAACCTCACCAGGGAGGCGTCCAGGAGGCTTCCTGACCAGATGGCCGAGCCACCTCCACTGGCTTCTCTTGATGTGGAGGAGCAGCAGATCTACTCCGAGCCCCTCCCGGATGACCGAGCTTCTCACCCTATCTCTAAGCTTGTATCCGTGATCTCGTTCTTTCGGTCACTACCCAAAGCTCATGACCATAGGTGAGGGTAGGAACGTAGATCGACCGGTAAATCGAGAGCTTCGCCTTCTGACTCAGCTCTCTCTCCACCACGGCAGACCGGTACAACGCCCGCATCACTGCAGATGCAGCACCAGAGGTGGAAAGTAACGAATTACATTTACTCACGTTACTGTAATTGAGTAGCTTTTTTGTATATTTATACTTTTAAGTCGTTTTTAAAAGCTGTACTTATACTTTTACTTGAGTAAGTTTTTAAAAAAGAATTGTAATTCACTACATTTTAAATCATATCCGTTACGGAGTAAAAATAAATTGTAGGCTTAATAAATTACAAATATTACGTGTAGCAGCGTTGGAACGGAAAGGGACACCTGCATGAGCTCCGCGTCTAAACCGTGGGGGTGTGGGTGTACACTTTTGCTCAAAGACATCAGTTCAGTCCCTCAACTCGCTGTTTACCTCCTCTCCTGTGGGTTGGAACCAGCACCTTCACGCACCGGTGTGACATCATCAGAATTCTGCTCGGTTCGGTAGCCGGACTCGGTTCCGTGTTTGAAATGTGTTTCCCTACCGCTCCACACGGCAGCGACTAAATAACGTTTAGCGCTCATCACAAGTGGATTCTCAGCACTTTGCTCATAAAACAGAAGACCTGCAGGCCTCTGTGAGATAAAACATCCTGATACTGTTCAGGTGTAAACGTTGTGCTCCATCCCTGTGTTTGGACTCAGAAGATGCTCCTTGATGCCACAGATATGTGATGATTTAGCTTGTTTCTTTATTTTACTCCAGAATAAGAGATTAAATTATTACAAAAGCAGTTCAGTGTAGTTAAATTAGTCATTCAAATGACTCTAACATGCTGCAGTGTGTGTGTGCATGCGTGCGTGTGTGTGTGTGTGCACGCACACACGAGCGAATTGTGAACTGGCATTGTGATTTAGCACTAGTTAGATGTAGCCATCCTTACGCTGACAAAAATGTAACAAAGTAACTTTTACTTTGAGTACATTTTGTTTACGATACTTTTTACTTTTACTTGAGTAAAAATTTAGGCAAGTACTTTTACTTGTACTTGAGTAAAGAATTATCAAAATATTGGTACTCGTACTTAAGTAGGAATTTTTAGTACTCTTTCCACCTCTGCACAGCACCAATCCATTTTTCCCTCACTCGTGAACAAGACCCAGAGATACTTTAACTCCTCCACTTGAGGCAGAGCCTCATCCCTGACCCGGGGAAGGCATTGTACCCTTTTCCGACTCAAGACCATGGTCTCAGATTTAGAGGAGTTGATTCTCATTCCAGCTGCTGACGGGAACCACATTGCTTCTACTGAATCCACGGTTGACAATCCGACAGACCCTCCTCTCCAGAACCCCTGAATAGACCTTACCAGGCAGGTGCAGGAGTGTGATCCCCCTCCAGTTAGAAAACACCCTGGGGGTCCCTCTTTTTATACAGGGGGACCACCAACCCGGTCTGCCAATCCAGTGGGACTGCCCCTGATGTCCACGCAATATTGCAGAGCAGCCCAGAAGTTTCCTGACCATCTCAGTGACTTGAGCTCCAAAGTCCCAGACTTCACTTCCTCTCTGGGAGACGTGGAGGATGAACAAGTTTAGTCCCTCACCTTTTCTTCTCTTGACGAACAACGCTACAGCAGTAATTATCAGCGCCAGCAGGACCAGAGCCACAAAGATGTACAACCACAATAAATCTGCCAAGATATCAACATCATGGATGTGAATATAGGCTGCGTGTAATTAAATAAATAATAAACTTTCTGTGCATAAAATCCTGAGAGTAAAACACTAAAATGATTTTCTACCTCGGTCTGCAGCTCCGCTTCCACCTGCAGAGTCCGTCGTGTTGGTTTTCCGTCCTGATGTAACCATTGATGTTGTTGTTGGAGGAGAAAAATAAATCATAAGTTGTTTTTTTACCATCAGTGAAACATTTGACTTCTAGATCTCTGAAACCAGGTTGTTGTGGTTTCTCACCTGTTGGACCAGAGCTGAAGGTAAAAAGCTGCTGTTTGTTTTCTGTCTCTACTTCACATTTGAATAACTTAAACCTTGATGAGTAAACGTAGGTGGAGGTGTGAAAGGTCACAGCAGCAGAGCAGGAAGATGGAGATGATGTCTTTATACCAGGATGATCTTTCTCCACATCGTTACCCTTAAACAACCACTTCACTTCATGTCTGCATTCATCGTACGGCGACACAGAGCAGGTGAACGTCACCTTGTTCTGCTCTGTTTGTTCTCTCACTGAGGACGGATGGAAAGAGAAAAGTAAACATGATTATATTTATATTTGTGATCATTTTGTTGTGATAAACGTGTGTGAACACTCACGGGTAACAACGGAGAGGTAAACAGGAGCATCACGATGTAATTGATGTCCTCCTTCTCTTTCATACTGACTGCAGAAGTATGAACCAGCATCCTCAGCTGAGATGTTCCTCAGAACCAGAGAACAGTTTCCTGCTAGACTCAGTGGGTCTGATCTGCTGTATTTAACCTGGCCGAGAGTAACCAGCTCTTGTGTTGTTCTTCCTCGTTTACCGTAGCCCCAGGTGGTGGTGTCACAGTTTCTGTGATCTTTAATCACATTTTCACAAGACAAAGCGATGTCATCTCCAGCTCTGATGGTGTAGAAAAGATCTCCACTAACGACTCCTGAGAGAATCAGAGACATTTGGACCTTCCTTCAGAAAATTGATAAAAGATGTTTATTTCCTAACCCAACATCATGTTTGCTGCCAGTGAAACAACAGCCACCATCTCCATGAACACTAATCATCTCTAACATCTGAACTCCTCACCTGGAAGCTGCAGCAGCATCGTGACGAGCAGAAACATCTGAATCCATCCAGGTTCCTCCATGGCTCCTCTTTGCTCCGTCGTCTCTCTTCACTTCCTGTTTAACTCTGAAACGCGTCAAATTTCACCCAGCAGCTGAATCTACATCCTGTAACTTGTACGGTTCCTTCATCATGACTCATGCTTCTCGTCGCTGGCGTGCATGTGAAACAAACATTGAGGCATGATTACGATTCTATCTTTGGTTCCTTTTAAACCCAGAAGGTGTGAAATGACGAAGTTAATAAAGACAATTGTTCATAATTTTCTCAGAAATTCTGTCTTCCTGAGTTTGTTTTATTCAGCACACCAAAAAGAAATGATTAAACATCAAAGGTAGTATAGTAGTAGTATGTAGTACAGTTGGGTACTCATGAGGTACCTACAGGTACTTAGAGAGGTTATGTAGAGCAAGCACCACCACCATAAGGAAACCATAGTTCATGCATAAACTGGTCATATTTTATGTTCCCACTTCCTGTGGGAACTTTGTGTTACATCATCTCTAATGATGATTCAACAGAAATCTGATGTAAACCTTTAATAACCACACGAACCGTTCTGAGCTGTTTTAATAGAACTGACCCGGTTCTGAGCAGCTCAGCATGTGAAGTGATCCGCTTTGTCCTGAGCTAACTGATTCCCTGATTTTAGAGTAGAATGAAAACCATTTTATTCTTTAGTAACTGTGGGGCGACGGTGGCACAGGAGTTAGGTGCTCGCCTCGCAATCGGAAGGTTGCAGGTTCGAGCCCCGCTCATTCTGTCGCTGCTGTTGTGTCCTTGGGCAAGAGACTTAAACCACCTCGCCTGCTGGTGGTGGTCGGAGGGACCAGTGGCGCCAGTGCTCAGCAGCCTCGACTCTGTCAGTGCGCCCCAGGGCAGCTGTGGCTACATCGTACACTGTTAGACTTTACCTATCCACTTTACGGTAATAAACTGGCAACACTGTTGCCAGCATGATACCGTGATGCATGGTTAACGGTAACTTACCACTTAGTGTTGATCCCAGAATTATACCGTATATTTTATTGCTGTAAAAAACCCTCTGACTGCATGCCGGTGAGATACTGGCAACGCTGTTGCCAGTATCTCACCGGCAACAGTGTTGCCAGTAAAATACCGTAATATATTTCACAAGAAAATTACATCAATAACACAACATTATACCGTGATTAATAAATATGTGTTGTGCTGTATGTTTATGGTATGTTACCGTAAGCTCATTTCAAGGTATGCTGCAATACCTTTTCCAGTGATTTACCGTAAACATACACTTTTGCTACTGAAAATAGTCAACGCTGTCAGAGGTTATTGTGTTTTTGTGGGCAGTAATTTACCTTTTTCATGTCATATTTTACTAAGATACGAGTAAACGGTAACATACTGTAATACAGTAAAGGCTCCCAAAATAAAAGGTTTATACTTGTGCGTGCGTGCACACACACACACACACACACACACACACACACACACACACACACACACACACACACACACACACACACACACACACACACACACACACACACACACACACACACACACACACACACACACACACACACACACACACACACACACTTGTTTGTGTAATAGTTGGATATATTTAAGATCAAGATGTAAACAAAATGCACTGGATTATCTTTTTTTATTTGATTGCTTCCATTAAAACAGAAAAACATACCAATAGCCGGTAAAAGTCTCTTCAATAAAATGCTTTTTAGTTAAACATCCAGAATGGTATAGTGAGAAGAAATTGGCAACTGATGGTCATAATGTAAAAAAGAAATGAATCAGTGACCTGTGTGACCTACAGCTGATAAATAGTCAGATGTATACAAAATGTCTACAAACCTTTCTTAAATGCAAGTAGTAGTTTACGTATTTGAATTGGTGTAAGAAAATGTTTGCGATCATCTGCCTCTACTAACAGAAGGTCACTTTTTTGTTGGACACCAATGACATCTTTCAGGTGGTCTGCAAAGGACAGTACTTTCTGTCTCTCCAATTCCGGCAGGATGCATGTGATTTCATCCTCAATTTCCATCACTGAAATATAAGGGGAAAAAATCGTGAAGAAACTGAATGGTGCAGGGAAACAACAAAAAGATCTGCCATGTTATAAAGGGGTATTGGGTAATAATCCATCAGACTGTCAGCATTTACACACAAACCTCTGTCTCTAGGGCAGTGTAGGCAATAAAGTCCAAGGTCAATAAGGCGTACCGACTGATGCAATTCTAGCACAAAGTACAATTTAGAATCATTAACAAGTATCAAAACTATCTTCCCAAAGTCAGTGCTCTCATTAGTGTGATCTACTACAACAACATGACCTTTGACATATTTGGTACCTTTGTGGACAACTGCTGACACATCTAGCATGTTATGATTAGAGACATCTGCTTTTGTCACAGCATCCTGAGTGGCAGAGTTGTAAAGATGATGCCTATAATCATTCACTTCTCCAATGATTTGAATTGTAGGTGGAAATATTTGCCCTGGCATAAAACTTTTTTTCCATCTTTAATATGGATCCTCAGATGGACACAAAGAGTTTTAATATTTTGTCCAACATACCCACATCCAGGAACTTGTCAGCTAAGATTTCCAGTGAACTTCCAGCTCTCCTCCTCAGTGTTCTCCCCTCGTCTATGATTTCTGTGCATATGGGAACGAAAGGCAGTGAATGTTTTAAAAGTGGCTTTACAATTCTCAATTCCACAAGAAAACATATAATTTGCATTGTGTTTATGGCTTCTAACATGTGAACTGAACAATATAAATGTGTGTGCACGGAATCTATAATATTTACAGAGAAACATTTTAAGTACCCTATATCTTCAATAGTTTCTTTTCCAGGGATATTTTAAGCAATACAACAAAAATGCATAGAAAACTAAACAGTACCTTAACAGTAGGCTAAATAGTCATAAAAGGCTCAAATATGCCTAAAATGTAACATCCCCTCAAAAAACGGAAAGTAGTATAGCTTTCACACTGGCCACAAAAAGGAAAATTATTTGACCTCAATATCGGAGTTAAACCTCTCCAACCTGTTCTGCATATCACAGCATGCACTGGCAGCAGCCTTCACCTGCAAACACTTACTGCCAAATTAGCATTTGTTTTTTTTTGCTCCTAACTTTATTGAAAACAAATGTCATACACAAGAGAAGTCAAGGAAACAAACTGACTTTGATAGCAGTCTCCATTACAGAAAATGTGAAGCAAATCCTTTTACCTTTGAAAAGAAAAAAAAGAAAAAGAAAAAATGATCAAGAGCAAAACAATAAGTAGCAGAAACATTTTGGCACAAGCAGTTTTCTTGTTCATATCTGAGATGTGCTTGAGTGACTAAAAATATAATGAAAAGTTATTCAAGAAAAGGATAAACAGAGAACTGTTTTTCCAATTACATGAATAAATAAAGTATTTACATAGAATATTTACAAAAAGAAAACATCAGATATTTTAAGTAAAATCTAGCTTTGGCTGTCAGTCCAAAATACAATCACATGCTGACAATTGAAAAATAGATTATGCATTGTTTGTAGATCTTAACAAATTTGGTTTTAAGCATCACATTACTTTGCATGGGTAGCAGCTGAAAATTAATCACCTTGTTTGTCAGTTTTTAAAACATTCAGGTAACTTCAATAAGGTGTTTACACATTTATGGACAGGGACCGTTTTGCAGAATTTGCATGAAGATCACAGCTATAGCTAGTTTAAAAGCCAAAACATGCAGTAAAATACTTACCAGACTGACCAACTCCCCTGTAATGGGTCGCATTCGAGATACGCGTTTGGAAAATGTTTTTATTTCTTCTTTTCCTAAAAGTGCAAGACAACGATCATATATTGTGTTTCCAATGTTGTTGTTTTGAAAGCAAATATCCAGGTTGTATCAGGTGAAAGTGATGAATTATTTTTCACTTATCTAATTCTGGGAAACCCAACAACATAAAACATACCTAGGGGTGGAAAATACCTTTGATGAGTTCTTCCTTGGCCCATTTCCTTAAGATTCCATCGATAGCTGTCTGAATTTTTTGTTACATCTATAGTGAACACAATAGATAGACAACAGCATAATTTTGGTGGCTGTAATTATCCTATAATATTGCTATGAAAACATGCAAAAAAAAAAACAAACAACTGATGGAATTTTGAAATGATCAATATTTTATGGAATATTTTACATTAAATTTCTTACAATTATAAAGTCGTAAACTGGTATCATGTCAGTTTTTTGATAAAATTCTGTAAACATTTATCAGTTTAAATCGCCCACCAGGCAGATGTCAATTACTGTCATTTAGGCAGTAGGACTAATAGATTAGCTTAAATATGATTTTATCAATCTGAGATGATTTTTTTATTTACAATGTAGGCTTGGTTAAAGTATCCAATCTTTTGTTTTATATTATAATTAAAATATTTTTAAAGAGATTTTAGTGAGTGTTTACATACTGTATGCTTTTATAATAGCTCAATTAAAACATTTATTCTTGGAGCATTTTCTCTTTACTATGGGGCATAGTGTTTTTTCATTGGTGATCTCACAAAGAATTGTTTTGGTAATGCACTCTGAACGAAGATTTGAGCAAGGTGTTTTAAAATGTCCACTGAAAAACCAGAGACAGAAAAATGTCAGAGGTATACCAAATTTTTATATTTGCTGTACTTTACCTGTTTTCTTTAAAACAGTGACATACCATGAAAAATATGTGATGTTGTTGAATTTACTCACCATTACATGCCAAATACAGTACTACACTGCTAAGATTTTAGCTGTATTTTCCTTTTGATTTTACAGTAATATACTATAGGAATGACAGCACAGTCTAACAGTGCATGGAAATTACAGTACTACACTGCAAACACTTTTAGAGGTATTTTACTGTTGATTTTACAGTAATATACTAGCAAATGCCAGCAAAGTCTAACAGTGTAGCTCATCCCCACCAGCTGTGACTCAGGTGTCAGCTGCACACCTGGAACACACCTGGCAGCTCTAGAGCCACAGCACAAGAGAAAACAGGAGACTTGTGTAAAGACCAACACGTGTGAGCCTCGTGCTGATGCACGATCCTCACAAGTTGGACCTCAGAGTAAAAAATGACACATCAGGCTTTGCAATAACGAGTTTTATTACCCGGAAGCGTGGTTACAGTACACAAATAAACACTTTCCTACAATTTGTGCTAAATTAAAACTTTTCCACTCTCTTATTAAAGTTAGTTTATGAAAGTGTGCATGAACAGCCATCATGCGTGTTTTTTACAGTGCATGCATGAGCCGTGACCCTCTCTCTGGTGTCGTTGGTCACTCGATGGAGGTGTAGAGGCTGTGGGGATCAGCAGGTGCAGCTTTCAGCGTGCTGTAGGTCACGGTGGATCCATCATATTCACCTTTAACCTGCAGCAAACAGAAGATCATGTGTGACCTCCACAGAAACCGTCAGGTCATTTCTAACCAGTGGATTAGCTCACCCTGGTGGGTTTCTGGGTGTAGCTGATGGAGGCGTAGGAAAGCCCCTCCTCAGCTTCACCCTGAACACAAACAGATTCTGCAACCAGCTGGTTTTACGTCTCAGGGTGTTTCAGCTCTGACTTCCCGTTTTTCAGCTCAGGCTTCCTTCTTTAGTCTGATGCAACACCTGACTCGTCTTCTACAGAACTCTAAAGCGGGCTTCGTGTGAAGAAAAGATTTTGCATTTTTACCTTTTTTTGTCTGGTTTCTGCAGGAGGCGGAGCTGCAGGGTCAGAGGTCATGTTCTGGAGACACATTCAGTCAGATTAGGATTTATTCGGTTAAAGCAGAAGATTTTTCATAACGTGGTCAAATTGTTTTCATTTGTGATCAAAAGTTTGCTTCAAAAGCAAAGAAAAAATCATGTGGGCCTCATTTTTTCTCAGCTGTAGCAGCACACAATGGTCTGAAACAGAATTTAAGGGAAAATTTCCAAACTCACGTAGTTAGAGTTTTGCTGCATTTGCTTCCCTAAAATGAGAAAATGAACACAAAAATACACGAGGACTTTAGTTCAAAAGATCTTCAATAAAACTGAAAGTTCAACAGCCTGTATATTATTTACCTTTTTAAGGGATTTGCAAAAATGAATAAAATCATTTTTGAAAAAAGCCAGGCTTGGTTTCACTTTCATAAAACGGCATTTGTGAATAAAGAATTTTCCAAAAATTATCAAATTGTTAACAACGAATTGAATCTGTTTATTTTTTTTCTATACAACCAAACTGAATAATATTATATGTGAATAAGGGGATATTGTAACTCTTTTGGGATAATAGCCAATTGTAGAAATCTGACCAAAAGGTATTTACCGAGTTGCAAACATAGAAAAGGTGTTTCTGAGTTTCAATATCATTATTACATAAGACACATAAATTATCTTGTATATTAAATCTGTTATTTAAGAATTCTTTACATGGATATCTATTATTACTCGTTTTAAGGTGGACTTCCTTCATTTTGGGGAGAAGAGGATAAGAAAGAAAATCTGTTCTTATGACTTTGGTATCTTTATTTTGAGAGAATCGGAGAAAGAATTTTCCTTCTGACAGGAATAGGGAACAACTTGTCTGACAAGACTGCTCTTAGGTAAGAGTTATTACATTCAGGATCTGTAAAACACAAATCACCTATAGATAATTTAGGAAGCTTAGGTGTACTTGCTCCATGTTGAATACTTTGACTGATCATCTGACCAAACGCTGGAGAAATAGCCTTTATAACTCTAGAGTATTCTGTTACCGAACAGTCTAGATTATACTTCAACTTGAACTCATTATGCTCCAGAAACTTACCATTACTGTCCATCATCTGCATTATGGCCCAAACCCCTTTGTCCATCCAACTTTTATAATACATCGATTTCCGTTTATACAGAACAAATCTGTTATTCCATATAGAGGAGGAATGTGGGCTAAAGTTATGCGAGTAGATCATTTTCCAGTAAGTTAAGACTTGTTTAATATTAGAAAGTTTGATGGGTAATTTAAGAGGATCAAAATCACATTTTAACAGAAAGTCTATACCTCCAATCTTCTCATACAGAAATGAAGGAATTCTGAACCAGATTGAATTTCTTAATTAGAACATTTTTAAGCCATTGTAATTTAATGACCCCATTCATTACTTTAAAGTCAATGACATTCAGACCTCCTTCTTCAATAGGTTTTACTAGATCATTTTTCCTAATCAAATGTTTATTATTTCAAATAAAGTCATATCATGTTTTATTTTCTTAACATATTGGTCAGGGATAGCTACTTAAAAAGCAGGATAGATTAATCTAGAAATACTCTCCATTTTTGTTAAGAGTATTCTACCAAAAATTGATATATTTATTTGGAGCCAACTGTTTAGAATCTTTTGATTTTTTTATCAATCATCGGTTGGATATTGTTATCAACTCTCCTCTTAAATTTTTTATTTATCTTCATACCCAAATACTTAATTTAATTCTTAAGAATCCTCAGTATCATGAATTGTTAATATTTCGCATTTGTTTGTGTTCAACCTTAACCCTGAGGCTTGTGAGACAGCGTTTTCATGGCATTAGGAATTTCCTTGGTACTATTCAACAATAATGCAGTATCATCTGCTAGTTAAATTATTTTAAGCGAGTGTCCTGCCACTGTTAACGGTTTAATTGATTGATCATTTTGAATTAGCAAAGTCAGCATTTCTGTTGCTATAATAAAAAGAAGTGGACTAATAGGATCTCCTTGTCTAACTCCTCTATTAACTGGAAATCTGGTTGTTGTACCTGAATAAAGAAGAACTGCACTCAATACATCTTTGTATAGGAATGTAATAATATCAATGAATATTTTACCAAATCCAAAGTGCTGAAGTGACTTTATAATAAATTGATGTTCAAGACTATCAAAGGCTTTAAAAGAATCTAAGAACAGTATAGCACCATCCTCTTCTACTAAATTTTCATAATCTAATAAATCAAGAATCAGACGAATATTGTTATGAATAATCCTATTTGGGAGAAACCCTGATTGAGTTTCACTAATGAAATCATTTATGCCATATTTTAGCCTATTGGCCAATGTGTGAGTGAATAACTTACAGTCCACATTCAGTAATGTAATAGGTCTTAATTAACAATAATAGAGTTGTCTTTGTTGGGTTTAGGTATCAATATTATTATTCCTTGTTTCATCGTAGTTAAGAGTGAATTATTCCAAATACATTCTTGTAAAACTTCAAATAGAAGCTCTCTAATATCCGTCCAGAAGAATTGATAAAAGTTTGTGGTTAGACCGTCCTGGCCAGGACTTACCCAGTGCTACTTTATGAATCACCTTGTCAAGTTCAGAAATATTCAAATCCATATCATATTCTTTTTTTAAATCTAAATTAATTTGGAGAATAAACCTTTCAATGCAGTTAGAATTTTTCAGATTTTAATTCTTTAAAGTGAGAAGAATATTGATGGTAAAATTTATAAATACTAACTGAAATTTCTCTTTGATCTTTAATTAACTTACCATTAATATTTAATGAATCTGTCACTTTTGTCCGTCTATTTTTCTCTAATTTACTGAAGTATGAACATTTCTCTCTCCTTCTATCCATTTTGCCCTTGAATGAATGAAGGCTCCTTGAGCCTTTTTTAAATAAAGCTCGTCTAATTAGGCCCGAGCAGCGAAAGCGCTGCGAAGGCCTCTTGTTTTTGCTCTGATTAGGCCCGAGCAGCGAAAGCGCTGCGAAGGCCTCTTGTTTTTGCTCTGATTATTAGGCCCGAGCAGCGAAAGCGCTGCGAAGGCCTCTTGTTTTTGCTCTGATTATTATTATTATTATTTATTATTCCGTGCGCGAAATGAATGGCTTTTTGGGGACCTTAACATACCCCAAAACTCACAATATTTTGCACAATTGTCAGGCCTGGTGAAAAATTTGATATTTTAAAGGTCCCAAAAAAATCGCAAAGAAAATGGCTGAACAGCGCCCCCTACAAAGTGAAAAAAACCCCTCTCCATAAAGCTTAGTTTATCGTACAGTTATGAAATTTGGTACACTTGTAGTACTCAACAGTCCGCACAGAAAAGTCTCTTGCAAGCATGGTCAATATCAAACAGGAAGTCGGCCATTTTGGGATGAAATGGCGATTTTTGGCCGTTTTTGCCGTTTTTAGGGTCAGTCTCTGATTGGATTGCTCGATCAATTTTCGCACGATCGTCTCAAAAATGGTATAAAATTGCTCAGAAGAAATGGCCGAACAAAATGAGACAAGGATTCTGAGTTTTCGTATATGCTGAAGGGGCGGGGCCAGGCCTCGAAGTTTGACTACTCGCCAAAAAAATTAAAACTGCTATAACTTCATAATTGAATGGAATAGAGTTACCAAACTTTCTGTGGTCATTTGTCATCCTCCCACAAAGTAAAATGAATGGTCGGATGATGACATCACACAAGCCCCGCCCCCTCAGGACCAAAAAGGTCAAGTTTTACTATGAAAGGTCCCAAATGGCCCCATTTCACTCAATCCCCACAAATTTGTAACTGTTAACTCAAGACAAGTGGGGGTTGCTTGGCGTCACTTTATGGGAGTTTTCGACAGAGGGCGGGGCTGTGGCGGCGCGGCGAAGTCAGGCGTACCGCCGTGGCCTTACGTTTGCCTCCCATTTCGTCATTTCTAAAAATATCGTCACGAAACTTCTTGTGAGTGATCCTAGTCCGGCCCCTCAAAAGAACTGATGTGAACATCCGGTGGGCGTGGCCTATTTTCTGAAATAGCGCCCCCTAGGACCTTTAAAACTGTCAGCCCCAAGCCATGCTTTGACTGAGGATTACGAAATTTGGTACACTAATGTGGTGTCTCAGGACCTACAAAAAAGTCTCTTGGACCCAAGTGCAAAGTCGTACAGGAAGTCGGCCATTTTGGTCCAAGTACGCGATTTAGTGGTTTTCGCACACGTTGTTTGGAGAGTGATGCTCCGTCGTCCTTTTCACCAATCTCCTTCAAACTTCTGCCATATGCTCTTAAGTCATCGGGGAAAAAATTCAACCGTCGGATTTTTCAAAAGTTGAAAGGTGTGGGCGTGGCTAAGCCTCAAACTTTGACCTTTCGCCACGCCACTCTTTTTTTCACAGCTTCCTATTGGACTCCTTTTACCCAATCACCAATAATCTCTGGCAAATAGCAGTAGACAACTTGAGGTCACTTGGTATCCAGTACTGGCAGGTTTCGAGTAAAGGCGGGGCTTTGGCAGCATGGCGAAAATCACCATCACGCCATGGAAATACGTTTGCCTCTCATTTCTTCAGTTATTGTGATAGCGCTACGAAACTTCTTGTAAGTGATCCTTGTCTGACCCCCAAGAGACAAACATAGCTGAAATTTGTGGGCGTGGCCTATTTTCTTAAATAGCGCCCCCAGGACCATTTAAACTAATAGCCCCAAGCCATGCTTTGACTGAAGATTACGAAATTTGGTACACTAATGTGGGGTCTCAGGACCTACAAAAAAGTCTCTTGGAGCCAAGCGTAAAGTCGCACAGGAAGTCAGCCATTTTGGTCCAAGTACGCGATTTAGTGGTTTTCGCACACGTTGTTTGGAGAGTGATGCTCCGTCGCCCTTTTCACCAATCACTTTCAAACTTCTACTATATACTCTTAAGACGTAGGGGAAAAAATTCAACCGTCGCATTTTTCAAAAGTTGAAAGGTGTGGGCGTGGCTAAGTCTCAAACTTTGACCTTTCGCCATTACTTTACTTGAATAATAACTCCCATGTGCAAGATCAGATCTTTTTCAAACTTTGTCTGTGTGATCATTGACCATATCTGTAAAAAATGACAATGTGGACAGCTGACATCACCTAAGCCCCGCCCCCTGACCACAGGAAGTC